CACAATTCAGTTCAGGGTTCAGAAAATGTGACGTTAGGGGAAATCCCGAGGGGCAACGGGGAGAACACGGGATAGCGAGTGCAGAGAAGAGAGAACCCAGGGAAGCGAGTGTGAGTCCTACAGGGTCGAGAGAGGTATGAACGAAGGAGACCTGGAAAACCGAGGAGCAGATCATCAGTCTGAAGGTGCTCATACTTCCGTGATCCAAATACTCCTCAGTCCTCCTTGCCGTCACCCCTTCCCTTCAGCATAGTCTGCTGGATTCACAACGTCTGTATAACAGACTGGTGTGTGCGTGTGTGTGTGTGTTTGTGGCCATGGGGAAGGGTGGTGACACTGGGGAGAAAACTGAGCCCAATGGATCAGACAGCAACCCGGTCTATAGGTGAGGAAACTCAGGCTTAGAGCTTCCTGGGATGAGCAGGGACCTGGGGCAGGATGTGACTGCAATGGGATTTGGTCCTGGGGCCAAAGTCATTTCACCTTCAAGAGAGCAGCAAGAGCACAGGGATGCATGAGACTCTCGAGTCCTGCTTCCCAGGAAGGTGGAAGAGCCCCTTCCACCTCTCCCCAAACACAGGCTTCCAATACAGGCCTAGCCCTGATCTCCCCTGCGCTGAGCCCCTCAGACACTGAGTGTGGATGTGGACGTTACAGCTGCGGAGGGACAGCTATCCAAAGTGTCCTTTGGGGAAATGGAGATGGAAGATGGGAGACGGAAACAGCCCCCTTTTTGTCCATCTGTGTGCTCAGGGGAGATGCTGGGATCCTACCTGTGAAGCACATGGGTTTCTGGAGAGATCATCAGCTCTAAGGGGGTTCAGATAATTTTAGCAGAATTTTTTTTTTTTTTCAGACAGGATCTCACTAGTCTAAATGGCCTTGAACTTGCCCTGTATCCTAGATTTACTGTCTTCCTGTCTCAGGTGTGCGCCACTAGTCCCAGCCAGAATTCTTCAAAGACATGCTTAATACGCAAAACAGGTGCTAGTAGGGAGGTGCGGGCTGAAGTGGGTGGAGCTCCAGCTCCCGCACTCCCCTCCCTGGTGGTAGACTCAATGCACTCCTAGAATCATCTGTGGAACACAGTTTAAAAACCACAATTTGACCCTCTTCCCTCATTTGGTAGACAGGATACCTCCTTCCAGCAAGGGGACAGGCCTGCCCCAGCCCAGGCCTGGGTCTCCTGCCTCGGAGCCTAGATTCCTTCTCCACCACACTCACACCTGCTCTCAGAAGAAACTGGTTTTTTGTCTTCCCATCCTGGGCATAAGGAGGCCGAAACCCCTGCCAGCCTGAGGTTTGGCTCCCATGGAGGTAAGACTCATTTTCAAACAGGCCACCAACAGTCACTGAATGTGAGGACAGACTGGTTCACACAAAACTAACTTTGCTTGATTTTGGCAGACCTGGTCTGGGCAAACCATCCTACAGGCCCAGCAAAGCCTGAATTAACAAGTGTTACTCCTCCTTATGGGTTGTGACCCAGAGATCTACCTGTCTCCCTAACCAAGGACTCTCAATGCCATCACCTCAAAGAGGTAGTGGCTGACAGAGAGAGGTTCTGGGGAGACTTGGCAAGACGCCTTTCTCCTGCCTCTCTGCCCCAGATGTCCTGTCAGTGGGCCTGGTGGGGGACAGTGGCTCTAGGACAAGGAGAAAGGAAAACAAGAGAATAAAAAAATACTATGAAATCTTCAGAACCAATTGGTGACTCCTTGTTTTCGAGGGGCAGAGACACTGTCCCCCAATCCCTCCTCTTCCCCGTGCTGTCACCACACCCCATCCTTTCCACACTCAATACAGGGGAATCCCTGCTCCTCAGCTGACACCTGGCCGTGCCCGCCCATGCTACTCCTCTGACAGAAGTTCAGAGAACACAAGTTGATTGTTGAAGGGGAAGAGGGCTACAATCGCCTGTCACAGCTCAAGGGCTATAGTGGGCTCTTGGAACACCTCACACAGCCAGCCAGCTGTAGGGAATGCCAGAAAGTGAAACCAAACCCATGTCACAGGGTGAGGCTCAGCCTGGTACCACAGAGCTGACACGCTAGGCTCCTCTCCTCAGCTCTTTGGCCACGTTTGGTAGGACAATGTCACCTCTAGGAAGTGGGGCTCAGAGGCAAAGACAAAAACAAAACCCCGAGCCCCAAATCTATGTAGGAAAACTCCTCCCTAAGCCTCTGGTATGGTGACCACCATCTGTACAATCTTCCCACATCTCTGCAGGTTGCAGCCTGGGATCTACAGCACGTGGACACTGTCTCTGCTGAACCTCCACACGAGCCCAGGTGGGCACCGTGAGCCAGAGGCTGTCTAGGCTCCACAGGAAGGGGCTGCTGCCGGCTTGGGCTTTCCCCAGGCCCTAGGAGCCAAGTGGGGACAAGAAATGTGGACGTCCCCATCACAGGAAGGAACTGGCTGGGCCCCCCCATCGGGACTTCTGGCCTTCGAAGGTATTGGGGGGTGGAAGTGAGAGAGGGGCCAGAGTGGGACACAGTCTCCAACCTGGGAAAGAGCCCCGCTGCGTGACCAGCCCACCTTGGTGCTGACCCTGGAGGAGGCTGACACTGCCAACGCCATTCCCTGCTGTCTCAGAGCTACCCAGGTATTGGCCCCTCAGTCCCAACTGCTCAGGGACTGAGGGGAGGACAGAGCCATCAATCTTACCCTCTAGACCCCTCTCCCAGATTCTTTGCTTTGGCTAACTAGTGCTTTGACTCCCTCCCTTTTCTGCTGCCTATGGGAAATTTAGCTCAGGGCCATTTTTCTATCTCAGGGGGGCAGGGCCGCTTGAGCTGTGGGGGCTGGAGGCCCACATCCTAAGACGGACCCTGACAGGAAGCAGCTTTATAGAACCCAGCCAGCTGCAGCCGGTTAAATCCTGCCCACTCATTATTTATGCAGCAAGGAGTTTTTCTAGGCCCTCTTTCCCTCACTGGCCCCACCAGGGCATCGACCACCCTAATGGTGAGGCTCTGCAGGGTTGGGCCTGAGCTGCACGGTCCCCAAGCTTCCACTTGGCCACTAATTAGCTGACATCCAGAGATTCTACTTCTCACATGAGAAACTGGGCCCAGGGGCCCTGCGGGGAAGTAAGACGGAGCTGAGCGAACATCAAGCCTCCTCCACACCCAGACCCTGTCTCAGCTCTCTGCTAGCTGTTGCTAACTCAGTGCTGGTGTGTGTGTGTGTCGTGTCCTCAGAGCTGGGAACACAGACAGAGGCCAGGGAGGGCAGGTGAGAAGTGAGTTCTTCCTGAGCTCCAGAGAAGCAGGAGTCTACCGTGGTGAGAGCTCCAGAGGAAGGAAGTGATCCAACGTGACAGTCACCTTTGAAGGGCGTGGGGGGGCTTAGCTTGGAGCTGTATTTGCAGAACACAAACACACTGTTCTGACTTAGAGTGGATTTTTGAGGGGTGGCTGTGGGGACCACTGATGGTGCCTCTCTAGGTTCTCCAAACCTTCCTAGCCTCGTCACTGTGATTCAGCTGGGAGGTTTTACCCTGGATACTTCTCAGCCCCTCAATCAACTGTGGGTAAGTAGCCAGGTCCCCACTGTATCTGCAGTGGTAAAGGGGACCATGGACACACCCTGGGGCATTTACTGGATGCAATCAGGTGAAAATGCCTGGCAAGAAAAGTCTCAGAGGATGGGACGCAGAGGCAACACCTGGGACAGTAGCCAGCCCAGATGGAGAGGCGCGTTGGCTGCCAGGAGCTGCTGAGGCAGAAGAGGAGAAGGGCTGCTGATTCTGCTAATGGCGCTCAAAGCTGCAAACAGCCTTCCCACCCCCACTCGAGTGCCCTAGCAGAGACAGACTACTCTTGGCCCTCAGGGGCTGCAGCTCAGACAGTGCAACCCTGAAAGCCCCTCATAATTTCATGGCACTCCGAGTCTCCATTTAAATCATCAGACGTAAATTTAACTTTGGAGGTACAAAAGAGCCTGTATCCCATTAAATCTCTGAGACAAATCTGTCAGATGTAGTAAAAGTGCATGGAGCCAGCTATGTAAAATGTGAAATGCCGGCCAGAGCTCCATTTATTCTATGGTCTTATAGAAATAGTAAATTATTCATCAAAATGGAACATTAGAACCAACCGCTACTATGTGCGCATGATCTGTGGTTCCGGGAACGTCTGAGGCACCTCTGCTCAGGGCAGAGTCATGATGTGGGACAGGAAAGGCTATGTGAATGCACCTCTGGTTTCCTGGAAAGGTCATGCGTTCCACGGAGGAACAGGGTCTGCATTTTCTAAGCCACACAAACACAAATCTCACAAATGAGCTGGGTGTGGCAGCTCACGCCTATAATCCCAGCACTGGGGAGGCTGAGGCAGGAGGATCGCTGTGAGTTCAAGACCAGCCTGGGCTACATAGTGAGTTCCAGGTCAGTCTCAACTACATAGTGAGACCCTGTCTCAAAAAACCAAAATAAATAAATAAATAAATAAATAAACAAAATAAAAACAAATCTCAGAAATGAAATGGGCTTAAGGACAACAACCATCCAGAAGATGGCCCATAGCCCCCAAAGCCTGGGAGTCCCCGCTTCTCCCAGTAGCTCCCAGGCCCACTTGTAAGTGGAAAGAGCCTACTGAAACCTGGAAAGTCACCCCTCAGTTGGGGCCCTGGAAGACAGCCTTTGCCCCACCGCTAAGCTTGCTGCTGCGACCGTCCCAAGAGGGTGTCTTTGGCTGGAGATGGGTCAGGGTGTGATGCATCTTGACTCGCTACAGCCACGATTGCACGGACCCACACCAGCTCCCCACTCGGGACTCAGTTCATGCCCCAAAGAATCACTCCCGCTCCTGGTCCCACCCTAGCGCTCCCTGTCCAGGCCAACAGCCTCATCTTCCAGGGGGAGTCAGCGCAGCAGCATGAACCGTGGCGAGGCCAAGGTCACAGAGGAAGGCAGAGTCGGGACAGGCACTGGATGGGTTCTGAGGTCCGGCCTCACTCCCAGCTGTGTTAGAGGGACCGTGAGGGGAACTCACCGCCGGGACCACTTGGCCGACGGCCTCCCGAAGGGCCGCTTCCACAGCACCCCGTAGAGCTGCACTTTGGTGCTGATGTCCAGCGCGTCCGAGTCGGCCTGCTCCAGGGACGGCGACGGCGACACGGAGTTGGACTTGGACGAGAACATGCTGCCTCGGCGGGGCAGTCCGCGGCCGGGACCACTCCCTCCCCAGGGCTC